ATTCTCAGTATGAGATGTTCAGATATTAAAGATAATTCTCAGTATGAGATGTTCAGATACTACAGATAATTCTCAGTATGAGATGTTCAGATACTACAGATAAAGCCAAAGGCCTGCTTATATCCCCACCTGGGTCCCAGCCCCCTTCCTGTCCGTTAGTCCTTGTGGGTAACCATCTAAATAAAGTTTTACATATTGGGTTTGGTTTGGTTGACTTTATTTTGTTTTTGTCTGTTTTTTAAAAACAAATAGCACAAACACAACATATTGGGTTTGGTTTGGTTGACTTTATTTTATTTTTGTCTGTTTTTTAAAAACAAATAGCACTATACTGTATTTCTTTCTCTAGGCGTTGTTTTTATCATCCAACAAATGTTCTGGAGTTCCTTCCATGTCAGTATACGTGAATGCACTTTATTCTTTCTAACTACTGCATATCCTTCTGCAGCACGGGCACACCAACATTTATCCATCCATTCCCCTGAGGTTAAATGCCAGTTTTCACTACCATAACAAGAAGGCAAAGAACAACTGTGAGTAGGCATCCTTACGCACATCCATGTGAAAGTAATTTTCCCGAGCAGACTCCCAGTAGCAGAGCTGCTGAGTCATTGCAGCTCTCTTATTTTTAACAGGTCCCATCAAACTGCCCTCCAAACGGCTACGCTAATTTACACTATTACCAACCATATTTTAAAAAACCAATTTTCCACCCCATCTGCCAACTCTTGGTATTTTCAGACTTTGATTTCTTATAATCCAGTGGGTAGAAAATGATCTCTCTTTGTTGTTTTCATCTGCACTGCCCTAATTACTAATGACATTGAGCATCTCTTCACGTGCTTATTAGCCACTTGTATTTCCTCTTCTAGAACTGCCCGTCTCGGTATCCTTTGCCCATTTTCCACAGAGCCACCTGTCCTTTCTTTGTTCTTGGTTTTTTATTATGTACCCATATTCACACTAGCAAATGTTTTCTCCTAGTCGGCTGCTTGCCTTTTAGCTTGGTTTTATGATCCCCACTTCTCTCCTGCTATTACTGAGCCTCGAAATGGAGTCTACAGGTGTAACCACAGGCCTCTCAGAACACACTCTCACTGCCTTTCCTCTCTGCCCGCTGGCTGGCCTGTGCCCTTGTGGAAGCAATTAGCTCTCTGCTCAGCTCACTGGTGCCTGTCTGTGTTGACGGCCTTGATTGTGCCCTGGAGGATGAGGGCTTCGTCTGCTCGTATCTATGTCTCCCGTGGGGTCTAGCATGGAGCCTTATATATTGTAGGTACCGAAGCCAAACTAATCTATGGCCACCATTAAAAACACAATGACTTGATTCCAAATATGATTCACTCTACTCTACTAAGCAAGTATTATCATCGTCAAAGAGTGGCTTCCCTCCTTCCCAGAAGCAGAAAACAAAACAAGGAGGCATGTGGGCTGGCTCAATGAAATATTAAGCAGCTCTCTCCAACAATGTGGGCAATGGTTTGTATGGTTGTTACAGAGTCCAGGAAACTGGCAGAAAGGGAGGTGTATGACCAGACCACAATCTTTAGATCTCTGTTGTCCTCTTCAGGAAGGATTTTAGTATTAAAAGGACATTTATTCTTATTAATGCAAAATTAAGGAGTTTAAAAAGCTTTTATAACCTAGACTCCCTCTGAGAGGCCAGCTCTAACACCCTAATCAGCCTTCTCCTCCAACTACTAATTAGAGCCAAGCAGCTCCTGTGGTTCCCAAACAGCCTAACAACAGGCAGACAAGAAGGAGGGAAGGAGCAAGAGATCCTGCACCGGCTTCTACAGTCACCCAGGCCCTCCTGGGGACTGATCAAAGGATGCATCGCTAGACATCTGTCACACTGGTGAGAGACAGGTCACCACTCACTTGGCCCAGGAGAACTGAAATCACTAACTCTCCAGGGAAAAAGTAGTGAATCCAATGTTCAAATCCCCTGAACTACAGCCCCCAAAGTAGCCATCCATCCTCTACTTAAAATACCTGCCATAAAATGTTGGTAGCTTTGAAGGTGGGTGATGGGTATGTGTCGGTTCATAATATTCTCCCTACTTTTATGTCTGTATAGAATTTTTTAATAGTTAAAAAAAGGCTTTTTAATGCTTGCTGTAACAGAAACTCATAGCATCCTAATCCTTCCTTGGACATTCTTTTGGGAAGTTCCTCCCTTCATTGAACTACTGCACCCACCTACAGCTCTGGTCCTCCTAGAGGCCTTTAAGAGCTCAGTGTCTAAAGTCAGACCAACCTGGGTTCAAAAGCTGGAGTCACCACTTGCTGCCATTTGACCCTGAGTATATTAACTTCTCTGAACCTCCACTTTTCATCTGCACAATGAGGACAATAATGTAACCTACATCATAAAGGTGTTGGGAAAGTTTGATGAGATCATACAGGTAACACTTTTAGCCCAGGACTAAGCATGTAAAGTACTCATTGTTATTTTGCTGGCTTAATAAGCCTCCTCCTGGAGGCCAAACAGAACAGGTCACCTACTTCTGCATGTGGTAGACCTGATAGAAGACGACCAACTAAATAAAACTCAGCACCTGGAGCCCATAAAAAGGATGCCCTGAAATTTAAAAATCACAAACATCTGTGATTATGGCAAACAACAAACATTATGCCCAAATTCAAGTTTCCTCTGTGTCTTGGCATCTCCTTCAACTACACTAATCCTTAGCTGTCTGCATTTGATGCTCTGAGACACCAACAGAAATAAAGAGAAAGTTGTGGAAAATCCACTCCACTGAATCCTACAGAGAATCTGAGAGAACTCGCTTTTCCCTCACCCTATTTATGGACAGTGTGTGAGTGGAGAGTTCGCTTACTCCTTACACATTTGTACGAGAAAGGATGCACACAAAATACAAGAGGCCGTGTAGGCCACTTCGTTCCCACTTCAGGGTGACCTGATCCTTCAGAGGAGAGTCCTCTGCAGGACTTTACTATCCCACAGTGATTGCTAGGAGCACAAAATCATCCCCAGGGCCCAGCATACCTTGGCCTGTTTTCCAAAACATGACTCCATGCATTTGTCCTGACACTCCAATGCCACAGACGTCCTGGAGCAGCTGCCGAGGAAGGGCAGCAAGGCACTCATTTAGGGCTTGGATGATTCTGCTCACATCCTGCTCCCGCCCCTGGAAACAGAACAGGACATGGTGGGCAGGGGCACACAGACAGGAGGGAGGAGGACAGAGGCCTCCAGGAGTTTCCTGGGTAGTAGCTGCCGAGCTAATTGCACTGGGGTCCCTTCCAGGACCCACTGACTGGCCTCAGGGGTGCCATGTGGGACTGAGGGTTCTCCACCACCTCCAGCAGGGCCTGGAGCAGGAATGTGGTGATCAAGACTCCACTCCCTCCCCGCACAGGTGAGGCGCTGCTGCAGATTAGGTTCAGAAATGGCCAAGGCTCTGCTCTCCACTGTGGGTGAGTCTGAGCTGGGGAAAGCACTGCTTCTGCCATAGAGGAATGGACAGTCTAGCAGGGAGGACAGCAAAACACAGGAAAGACCGTAACGGAAGAAGAAGTTAAGGGTCTATCACAAGGCACACGGAGGGTTGGGGTAAGGGAAGGATGGAACACAGCAGGGAGAAACCTGGCAGGAAAGTTGTAGCCAAGCAAGGCCTCATGGACTAAAGCACTTTGGGACAAGCTCTAGCTTCTACTTGGACTTTAGTTCATCCATGTGGCAAACATTTCCTGAGTGCCTAAAGGGCCAGGCCTTAGACTCGGAAACAAAACACCCACTAGGCAAGGCAGGCAAGGAGGTAATGTCAGGGAGATGGTCCAGAATACCTGGGCAGAGTGTCAGGGAGATGGTCCATGCAAGGGGCTGGCAGGAGATGAGGCTATAAAAGAGGACAGGCTGAGCCCAGTGGGGGACCTCGAGCCCCAGGGTGAGGGGCTCCTCCTAAAGCCAATGCGGAGCACCTCGGGCTCTCTGAATGGGACAGTACCATCATCGTAAGGTTAATTAGGCAATGGTATAAGCTACCCAGAGAGAGACTGATAGTATAAAGAGATTTTTGGGGGCTGGAAATGAGATTCAAGAAAGTCAGGACCATCGTTTCCTGATTTGCCTTTTCTTCTGATTTGCTGCCTCCTTAAGAATTTCTCTAGGCAGAATAACCTTGAAAAACAAAGTCATGAGAAATAAGGAGAATCAAACAGCATACTATTATCTATAAGTCCCAAGAGAAAAAATATGAATAGAATGCAGGATTTGAAAAAGGTTAAAGGTCTCTGGAATCAGAAGCGAAAACACATTTAGGTATATTAGAGATAACGAAATGCCAAAACCAATTAAGCAGTGAATCCAAACGGGTGGGAGGTCCAGACTAATGTAACATTAAAAGTAGGTGACTCACACCAAAAAACATTTAGGTTCCATGACCATCTCTTCTTTCAAATTATGAAGTCCCTGTTAAAGACTAGAAATCGGACTCCAAGATCCCATCCCATCCCAGGAGATGCCTCTAATCAGTAAGAAGTCTCAAAAAACTAAGGAGGCCACCACAAAATATACACTTGGAAAAGCAACCCAGATGACATAATTGTTTTCTCGATGATTAAGTAGATTTCAAGTAGATTCCACACCCAGTGTGGAATGACCTTGAGATGAAGACCTGAGCTGAGATCAAAAGTCGAACACTTAGCCAACTGAGCCCCATGATTAAGTAGATATCAAAGAATTCAAAATCAAGAATTAAATATGCATGTTTAAAAGAGTCATACCTATCTGATTAACATTTGTGCTTAAAGAAACTTCTGAGTATTTGGTATTTTAGGTAAATTTATATGTTTAAGAGAATTTGGCCTAGGTTACCTCTGTAATTGAGTAACTGATCTAGATTTGTGATTATAAATTCAAATCTCACTACTGTACATTTATAAAAGGATTTTTTTTATAAAGATTTTTACTTATTTATTAAGAGTGAGAATGGTAGAGAGAGAGCATGAGAGGGGAGAAGGTCAGAGGGAGAAGCAGACTCCCTGCTGAGCAGGGAGCCGGAGGCGGGACTCGATCCTGGGACTCCAGGATCATGACCTGAGCCAAAGGCAGTCGCCTGACCAACTGAGCCACCCGGGCACCCTATAAAAGGATTTTAAACATATAAAACATTTAAAGTTTACAAAGCTATCCATTTAACTTATTAGATTTACAAGAATTATTTAAGTGTTCTGAAAAGCTTTGGGTCAGGCAACTACAATACGTGTGTGTGTGTGTGTATAACTAATGTATAACTAAGGTACTTAACTGAAATGGCATTATTATTCAAAGGTCCTCAAAATTGATAGTTACATGTTAGACTTATAAATGAAAACAGCTTTGGGCGCCTGGGTGGCTCAGTTGTTAAGCGTCTGCCTTCAGCTCAGGTCATGGTCCCAGGGTCCTGGGATCGAGCCCCGCATCGGGCTCCCTGCTCCACGGGAAGCCTGCTTCTCCCTCTCCCACTCTCCCTGCTTGTGTTCCCTCTCTCGCTGTGTCTCTCTCTTTCAAATAAATAAATAAAATCTTTAAACAAAATGAAAACAGCTTTATAGGCTAAATTTAAAAGCTTAAGAACTAGGGTTCTGAATTTAATAAATTGAATACTTATTTTTATTTCAACCAAAGTAAAATGTTTCTGGCACACAAACTGTCTGAAGGCACAAAATAAACTTATACTTAACAACTAGAAGGACCCACGGAAAACTCAAGCCCCAGGCTACCCTGCCCAAGGCAGAACACTGTCTTCGCCTCCTTGGGACAAACCCCTCACTTGCCCTGTCAGTCTGCCAGCCTTGGGCAGGGGAACTTTAGGTTCCAAACAAGCATGAATAAAGGAGCAGAAAAAAAGGAAGGTGAGGATGGGTAGGATGGGGGAAGGAGTGCAAAGACAGCACAAATCATCTTCCTGAGGGTGCAGCCCCAGATTCTAATAGGACTCTTTATATATGGGAGAGACTATGGCAGAACTGACTGGGCAGTGAGAGACCAGCAGAGAGGAGGTGCATAGCTGTGCACCTGAATTGAGATGTGTTGGGAGTATAAAATACATACCAGACTGCAGATTTAATATGAAAAAATACACAATATCTTATTAATAATTTTATATTAATTAATATATATTGAAATGATAGCGAAGGGAGGAAGATGGCGGAGGAGTAGGAGACCTGGATTTCGTCTGGTCTCAGGAATTCAGCTGGATAAGGATCAAACCATTCTGAACACCTACGAACTCAACAGGGGATCGAAGAAAAGAATAGCAACAACTCTCTGAACAGAAAAGTGACCACTTTCTGAAAGGTAGGATGTGCGGAGAAGTGAATCCGAGGCGATATTCGGGAGGATAGATGGCGGGGGAGGGGGCCTCCGTCAGCCACTTCTGGCAAATGCTAGAGGCGCATAGCACAAAATCGGGGGGGGGGGGGGGGGGGAGGCCGCCTGCAGAGAGGGAGCGGAGGCGCGGGTTCTCAGCTCGGGGTTGCCATAAACTGTGATCGGTGACAGTCAGGCCACTGCTCCTCCAGCAGGGACCCAACAAGTGGCAGATCTGGGAAGACTCCCCTCCCTCCCCCGGGAGGAGCAGCGCGGGAGCGCACCGCAGGGATCTGCTGGGTTTGGAGACTCCACACGGGGTCAGGTGCTAGAGATAGAAACGCTTGGTCACAGGCCGGGTGAGCACGCAGTGCGGCCGGAGATCGGGGACACGGGAGTGACTGCTTTTCTCTGGGGGTGCACTGAGGAGCGGGGCCCCGAGTTCTCGGCTCCTCCGAGGCAGAGACTGGGAGGCCGCCATTTTCACTCTCGTCCTCCAAAGCTGTACCTAGAGCTTGCAGGGAACAAAAGCTCCCAAGAGCAAACCCGAGCAGATTGCTTAGCCCGGACTGACAAGGGTGGGACAGTTCCGCCTCTGGCAAAGACATTTGGGAACCACGGCAATAGGCCCCTCCCCCAGAAGATCAGCACAAACAACCAGCCAAGACCAAGTTTACTGATCAAGGAGAACGGGAGAACTCCAGCGCTAGGTGAATACTACACATAGAATTCATGGCTATTTTACCATGATTCATTAGTCTTTCAAAGTTAATTTTTTTAACTGTTTTTTTCTTTTCTTGAATTTTTCTTTTTGCCTTTTCCAACCAACATCTTATCAATCCCTTTTTTTAAAAAACATTTTTATTTTTGATTTGTAGAGTCATATTCTATCCCTTCATAGTAGTTACCTTTATTTTTGGCATATATACATATATATATGTAAGTTGCTCTCTCTTTAAAATTTTGAAATAGTTTCTTCTAACATATCAAAATATATCCTAAATCTCTAGTGTATGCCTTTTTTCCATTCTCATGCCTGATCACATTCTCTTCCCTTTTCTTTCTTTCTTTTTTTTTATCCTCTTTATTTTTTCAAGCACCTTCTGATCAATTCCTTTTTTAAAATTTTTTATAATTTTCATTTTTACAGTCATATTCCATCCCTTCATCGTATCAACCCTTATTTTGTACATATATAAGTCTTTCTTTAAAATTTTAGGAGTCACTTTCTTCTAACAGACCAAAATACACCCAAAATCTAGTGTGTGGCACTGATCTATGAACCAGCCTGATCATATTTGATCATATTTTTTTTGTTTTGTTCTGTTTTTGTTTGTTTTTATCTTTACCTTTCTCTCTCTCTCTCTCTCTCTTTCTTTTTTCTTTCTTTCCCTTACTTTTCCCCCAGTTTCAGGTCTCTTCTGCTTTGTTTAGAGTATATTTTCTGGGGACGTTGTAAACCGGTTAGCATTTTGTTCTCTCATTCATCTATTCTCCTCTGGACAAAATGACAAGACGAAAAAAATCACCTCAACAAAAAGAAAAAGAGGTGGTACCGTCTGCCAGGGAACTACTCAATATGGACATTAGTATGATATCGGACCTAGAGTTCAGAATCATGATTTTAAAGATACTAGCTGGGCTTGAAAAAAGCATGGAAGTTATTAGAGAAACCCTTCCTGGAGAAATAAAAGAACTAAAATCTAACCAAGTTGAAATCAAAAAGGCTATTGATGAGGTGCAATCAAAAATGGGGGCACTAACTGCTAGGATAAATGAGGCAGAAGAGAGAATCAGCGATATAGAAGACCAAATGATGGAAAATAAAGAAGCTGA